TCTCTCTCCCCCCTCTCTCCCTCTCGCTTTTAACCCCCTGGCATCCGTGCATTTATGGGTTACCGGCCCAGCGTGTCGCGTCGTTAACTCGACGTTAAAGTTTCGTTAACGCTGCGCTTTAACTCCCAAAGCTCTACGGATGAATGGAGCTTCCAATCGAATCCAATTACTATCGGCGATCACGCAAGACAGACGCGGAACGTGATTGTGATCTGTTGCAACGCATGATAGAGCGTGTACAGATTTTTTTTCCATCTATCAACGATGAATCGAAGCAAAACTTTCTGTGCTTTCAGGAAATAACGGGACACTCGTGTGTAATGTGCATTGGGTGGTCCAATAAAAAAAAATCCGACAATTTCTTGCACGCTTCAAAAATTAACCGTTTTACGAATATACGCGCGGTCTCTTCCGACCACAATGATTTTGCATTCGATATATGAGTCTTCTGCCATATTATATTCGCGAAGTATCCGGCCACCATTTAAGAGATATGTCTGGTGCTGTCTTTTTTGTTTCACCATCTTGCTAGATATAACGCGATAACATGGTCCTAAAGAGGGAAGACAAGCTAACGAACCACGTTGTCCTCATCGTCCGGGCCTCATCATCGTTGTACAGTCTAATTATTATATTCGTTAACGACCTCGAGATCTTAATTGGAGGATGTGACGATCAACGCCATGACAATCATCCCCCTACCCCGTATACATGTGGATGTACGGTTAACCTGAGAATATCGATTCTAGGCGCCGCCGCCTTGCGGTTTGGAACATGCCATAACGTGTGGTGAATAATAATTATGCACCGTAACAGTTGTTTGTCAGTCAAGATTGCATTGGCCTAATCTGCCTACGTAGTTACTGTACATAGAATATATTTATGCAAAATATAAGAAGCGTCTAACAATGAGAAACGTGTAACACATAAAAGATAGTCATTTCTATAAAAAAACTGGCATTTCTTACATTTATTCATATTTCACATTCTATTACTTTTTGATTTTTTTTTTTTTAATTTGTTATTATTATTCTATTAAATGAATAGATCTTGTAGAGTAAATTACTTTTACAGAAACTTTGTC